AGGCATTTGCATGATACATCGAATAACAACATTTTTTTGCAAAACAACTCCACATTGAAGAAAAATTCATTTCAAAGTAAGGTTACTCATAAATCATGCCAAATTTTATAATTTCTGGGGATATTAATATATTTTTTGATATGCTTTTGGAGACAAGGTATGGTTCTGTCAGTATGGGGCAATCAGAAATTAACAGTAGTATGCTTTACTTTTGGTGCATGTGGGAAAAACTTAAGAGCAAAGTAAAGATGTAATGTAAACATAACAGTTAAATTCTGATGATTAGGAAAACAAGGGTTTACTTAAATGCCAAATATTGGCTCTAGTGAGAAAGAAAATCAGGCAACATAATGTACATGGTATGATATGAAGTGATGTTAGGAAATCATCAGGTATCTCATCACAGCATGGAAAACATAGCAGCATGTAGTATATAACTTATTCCCATAAATAGTTTAGCAGTTCTTCCCATGTGTGAATCTACATATATCTATCCATTTTTATTATTGGGAAAAACAGATCAAAACAAGACAACAAAACAAATTCCTAGAAAAACATGATATGAAAAAGACACATAAGACCACACTATTATGTGACCTGCAGTAGTTACTATGCTTTCTCTTGTTATTTTCACTAGAATTTTCCACATCATCAGGCATTACATCGTTAAGCATAGCAATACATCGCTATTTTTATGAAAGTACAACATTGAAGACATTGTAGGACTTGAAAACAATTAATAATCAAAACTGGAATGGACATCTTTTACATCTTGTCATCTTCAGAGTAGTTGCCTTTGCTCTTAGACCTGATACTAGCAAGCATAGCAAATGTTAATAAAATCAGCAAGGCAAAATAGCATTCAAACAAACCAGCTCCAAATAAGATCAGTCATAGTAAGACAATATAAGTAATACAGGGTTTCAGTTTAAGTTAATAGGAAATTAAGGATAGTTAACATGGTACAACCTGCTATTATTGGGTTATATGTCTGTGCCATCAAATCTAATCTGAGTAGACAGACCAGAACAAAATATAGTCAAAGTACACAGAGCAATAAGACTATTGTAGCTTTTAAATCCTGATATACTTTTAACAATGTCCTCTGTCTCCTTTGTTTAGGCAATTCCTCACCTTTCTCTTTCTCAGGATACTATTATTCACTCTTCAGAGTGATATTAGTCTAGTTTATTATGTTCAATTTCAGCACACATAAAGATAAAGACAGCTACTATGAAGAAAATGAGAGACATTATTTTAGTCATTATCAACTTTCCCCAAATCAGGTCTTGAACACCAAAAAAGCCTTCACCATACTGTAATTATTTATTACTTCTATAATGTTCAGTATATATTCAATGCATGTGAAGATGGGAACAGCTATTTGGAAGAAAATCAGAGATAGAAAGATAGACAGTGAACATCTCCAGTGGACTTGCTTTGCTCCAGTGGACTTGCTTGTTTTCTTATGAACTGTTCTGTTCTGTCATGTTTAATCTTACCCTCTTTAAGATAAAAAACAAGTGTGTAGGGCACATAAGCATATTACTAAGTTTTTGTGAGATCACTGAACAGAACTGTTTGCAGTGTTATTATTTGAATGTCACTTTGTATGCTTTAATTTTGTAACTTCAACAAACATTTCTAAGATGACAATATGTAACTTATCAACTAGTGATTTCTTATTGTTTATTTTTCTGAAATTCTGTGTTATTTCTACTCTTTTTTCTGTTTTTTTCTCTTTAAATAAAAACATTACAATTCACCAAAAAATATAAAAATTAAGTTTTAAAGACAAACATTAAGTACATAGACATTGTTTTGGATTAAGAACTGGTGATCAATTTAGCACCAGCTGGATTACATCAGCATGGCATTGAGTGAAGATGCTCCACCTGAGGAAAGTTGCCAGGATAAATAGGTCGTGAAGAAGGGATGAGGGTTGAGGTGCTAAGGAGGCATTGTGGGTTCTCCTACGAGTTGTTGTCTGAGCTGTTGGTTCTCCTTGAGAAGCCTTGGTCCTCACATCGAGCATTGCTTCCTGGCTCTGGAGGCAAAGACAGGTGCTGCTTGGTCTCCAGGATGAGCTTGTCATGCTGCTTCCTGGCATGTATCCAACTGTGCTTGTCATCGAAGGAGCTTGTGGCCTCCATGTCGCTGAGGACAGCGATGTTGCCTTTCAGGATATCCCTTTTCTTTGTTGTGTGACTTCTCAGCTACAGCATAGAACCCTCATCCCACTAGCACAGCTCTTTCATCCTGCTGGCATAGACTTTCTTTCTTTTTTTTTTTTTTACATTTTTAAAAAATTTTATTTAAAGTGATAAAGAATAAAACAGAAAAAGAGTACAATATACACAGAATTTCAGAAAAAATAAACAGTAGAAAATCACTAGTTAATAGATTACATATTGTCATCTTAGAAATAGTTGTTCAAGTTACAAAATTAAAGCATATAAAGTGGACTTTCAAACAGTGAGACTGCAAACAGTTCTGTTCAATGATCCAACAAAACTCAGTAATATGTTAATGTATCTTATACATTTAAATATACATGCTGTTATATCCTTTAGAGCATTTTTTTTCTCTCTTTTGTAGAATGACAATTACACATTTTGGTTTTTATTGCTCCCACAGTGCTTATTACTTTTTTTTGAACAGAGTAAAATCAAATGTGACATAACAAAACAGAGTCAGTCAAATCAAAAGGATGGACATAATGCATAATGTAAAAACAAAATACAAGGTGATCAACAATGGTTACCATACTGCCTCTTGCTATCTTAAAAAGAATTGCCTATATCATCAGTTATAATAAAATTGAACAAAAGAGTAAAGAACAAAAGCAATAAAACCAAAACATTGGAGACATTACAGGACTTCATAAGAAGATAATAGTTAACCAGAATGAGCATCATAATGAGTCTTATTCTGGTTAACTATTATCTTCTTATGAAGTCCTGTCTTATGAAGTCTTCACAGTTGTTGCCTATACTTTTAGATATAACTTGGTACTATCAAGCAAAACAGAATAGAGGAAAATCAGTCAAAACAAGATGGTGAGAGCAATACAGGGTTTCAAATAAAATTAATAGGAAATCAAAGTGGATTACTATAATATATCCTGCTATTTTTTATTTATCTTTCCCTTAATTAAAAAGATAAAAATAAAAAAGTAAATAATAAAAAAAGGAGATTGAGATAAAAGAGGGCATAACAACAAAACAGCACAGGTCAAAACATAACCATTTAAGCAAAATAGTGTTTCACCACAAGATATCCCAACATAAAGGTAGTTACCATATTGTCTATTTCCTTGAGATCTTTGAGTATAACTTCGTATACTGTAGCATCAAATATATCAGCACAATGTATAACCATTCAAGAGAATGACAGTATTACAGGGTATTTAGAATCAACTAACAGATAATGAACTATGGTTTGTGTATAATCTCCTTGTCTATAGAAGTTTTTGTTTATATTATCACATATAATAAAACCCAATAAGATACAACATATTAAGACTGATGGAGACAGAAGAACAAAAGCTTGATGGGACTTCAAAACAAGATGACATTAAATCAGCACTAGCTATTATGATGTCTTGTTTTCTCCAAAATAGCTGTTCCAAGCATCCAACATTTTCTGCCTCGTTTCTGTGGAGCTCTTTTTATGTCATTAGTTGTCAGTTTGTCTTCTTCATTTCACATTCTGCTCCATTCATTGTGGCCTCTGTTTCTGGAATCTTGGTATTTTTCTTTTTTTAGAATATCCTGCAGTATCCTCTGTAGAGTTGAATTGGTGGTTGCAAATTCCCCTAGTTCCTCTTTATCCTAAAAGCACCTTGTTTTTCCATCAATTTCTAGGGACAGTTGTGCAGGTTATATCAGTCTTGTCTGGAGGTTATTATCTTTCAAAGCTTAAATTATTTCCCCCCACACTCTTCATGATTTGATGGTTTGTACCGAGAAGTCTGCTGTAATTCTGATGGGCGTTCCTTTGTAAGTGAGCTGTTTCTTGTCTCTGATGGCTTTTAAGATTCTGTTCTCATATTGGATTTCTGTAATTTTGATTATTATATGCCTGGGTATAGCTCTGTTTGGGTTGTAGATGGCTGGGGTCCTGTATGCCTCATACATCTGAGTATCTTTACCTTTTGCTAAATTAGGGAAATTCTCCTGGATTATTTCTGTGAATAGCTTTGGTAGTTCATTTGTTTGTGTCTCTATTTCTATTATGTTCTTAATTCTAAAGTTATAGATCCTCTTATCATCTTCTAGCCTTTGTATTATTGCTGTTTGTTTTCTTGTTATTTTTAAGAAGTATTTCATTTCATGCTCCTGCATTACAAATCTGCCCTCAAGTTCAGATAACCTATCCTTAGTTTTCTCAAGCTGTTATGCCAGCTTTCAATAGTTTTTAGTTTCCTTGTAATCTCTGTGAATTTTCTTCATGTATCCCATGTTTTCTCTACTTTCTCCATCAAGCAATTCTCCCCTTTTTTTCTGTTTTTCCATTCTACTGTCTGTTTTTTCTTGGGTGGTGGTTAGCATTTCCCTTAAGTATTCTACTTATGTGTTGCTTTATTTCATTAAATATTTCACTTTTGAACTCGTCTATGAGGCTCCAGAGATATCACTTAATGTCTATTGGTGCCATGTCTGATATTGCATGTTTTTTCTCCTCATTCTCTTTTGAATTTACCTTTCTTGGATCAGTGTTCTCAGGATTGGGGACTGAAACCCCTTTCTTCTTGCTCCCTCTTCCCATACTTTTTGTTCCTTCCATACAAGTGTATATATAGGAGGCCCAATTTTTTTCTTTGTGGATTACAGTTTGAATCTGCTGGCTAGGTGTTCCCACCCACTGCAGTGTACTAGGGAAACACAGACCTGGGCAAACTTCTCTGGGCCTGCCCCTCCAGGACAACCTAGTGAAGGCTTGACTGATAGGGTGCACCGCCAGGCACTGGTACCTGGTTTGAGTTAGCCTACAGGGTCTTAATCAGTGGCGTCATCTAGGCCAAACACTCTGCACCAATCCCGCTTGAGAGGGGAATATGTGACTAAAGTCACTGCAATGTCCAGTTCTGGCTAGCCTGCCAAGTCCTGGAATGTACTCTTTTGAAGCCTCCTAGTCTATGGAAGGGTCCCCACTCCTTTCACTCACCACAGGTCAATGCAGGGCTCCCACTAGTCCTGCTCTCAACTCCATTCACTGATTCCCACTATCAGAGCTTTCGTGCATCTCTCTGCCTGCTGTGGGATGCAGCAGCAGTGGAGGCAGGAAATTCAAATCGTGATTTCCAGAGGTGTGGGTTCAAGCTTCCCTGCTGTGATTTTATCTGTTCCAGTTATAGCACCAGGATTGCATTTCCAGTTGGTTTCTCTCAGCGTAGTTTTTTTCCTGTGTTGGCAGGGTATATCTCCCCTTGCTTAGGAGTCCTCACAATGCACCATTCCTAGATTCTAAGCTGGGTATATCAGAGAACCTTCGTAACTGCTGTTATTTATCTGCCACGTTCTCCTGGAAGTCTGGCATAGACTTTCTAGCTTCCACCACTGACCCTTGGGTCCTCCTAGAATGGATCCATAAAAGAGACTCCATGAGTCCTTCTTGTGGGCTCTGGACCTCCGGTAGGACTCATAAGAGGCATTGTCCTGAGCTCTGGATTTTTATCTGGAATCCTGTGGGATGCTGCTGTGGGAGTTAGTCTCTTGAATAAATAATCCATGTCTTTGGTGTTGCAGATACACTTCCTGCATTTTCCTGTGTTAACTCCTGGTGAGTATTACAAAAATAATATTATAAACTCCTGTCAATCCAATTGTTCTCTGTGCACAATCCTTGACTATAACAGTCACTTTCCATACTTGAAAGTGAAAAGCACATTTCAGTTTACCATGTTTAATTACAAGATGCCATGTTGAAGCACAAGGACACTTTAAAATATCTAGAGAGGTACAAGTGATTAACAGAAAACCATACAACATGTGCACTAGAGGAGAGCCCCACCTCAGATTTGTCATTTATGAAAAATTTGTGAAGAAATGTTGACATCAAACTTCTGTATTATTTCTTCATGTCTCCTGGGGATATTTAAGTAAACTTAGATCTAAACTGTTGGACCAGGGACACTTTTTCTATGTATTTAACAACAAATATGGATTGCTGTATTTCTCACATTGCAAATCCAAAGAGGATCTCAGGCCAGTGAGCTCTTTCAGATATGTAACAATTATGATGGGTGTTGAGAGGATTCCCATAACACATAGGATTTATCTCTAGTGTGAGTTTCTTCGTGTATTTCACTTACACTATGGCTGCTGAATGAGTCTCCACTTGCTTACATAGCCAGTAGTTCTTCCCAGTGCAAATTCTTTTATGTGTTTTGCAATGACTGTATGTGGTAAAAGCTTTGCCACATTGTTATATACATAGGATTTCTCCCCAGTGTGAAGTCTTAGACGTATTTTAGAATATCCATATGTGGTGAAAGCTTTCCCACATTCTTTACATACATACGGATTCTCAAAAGTGTCAATTCTTTCATGTATTGGACAATGAGCATTTCTGCTGAAACCTTTCCCACATTCCTTACATAATATAAGTTTTCTGCCCAGTGTGAAGATTTCCATGCATTATGCAATATGTACGTGTGCTCAAACCATTCTCACGATGCTTATATACACTGGGTTTATCTTGAGTGTGAACTTTCATGATGCTTACAATGTCCATGCTGGGTAAAAACTTTCCCACATTACTTACATAGGGTTTCTCTCCAGTGTGAATTTTTTCATGCTGTTTACAAACTCTGTGTGTGGTAAAAGCTTTTCCACATTGCTTACATACATAGCATTTCTCTCCAGTATGAATACTTTCATGTTCCTTACAATGTCCATGTGTGGTAAATGCTTTCTCACATTGCTTACATTCATAGGGTTTCTCTCCAGTGTGAATTTTTTTGTGTTGCTTACAAACTCCATGTGGTTTAAAAACTTTTCCACATTGCTTACATACATAGGGTTTTTCTCCTGTGTGAAATTTTTCATGTTGCTTACAAACTCCATGTGAGTTAAAAGCTTTTCCACATTGCTTACTTACATAAGGTTTCTCTCGTGTGAATTCCTTCATGTTTCTTACAATATACACGTGTGGTAAAAGCTTTCCCACATTGCTTACATGTATAGGGTTTCTCTCCAATGTGAATTCTTTCATGTTCCTTACAATGTCCATGTTTGGTAAATGCTTTCCCACATTGCTTACATACATAGGGTTTCTCTCCAGTGTGAATTCTTTCATGTTCCTTACAACTTCCAGGTTGGCTGAAACCTTTTCCACATTGCTCACATACATAGGGTTTCTCTCCTGTGTGAATTCTTTCATGTATCTTACAATATTCACGTCTGGTAAAAGCTTTCCCACATTGCTTACATACATAGGGTTTCTCTCCAGTGTGAACTCTTTCATGATATTTACAATATGCATGCGTGTTAAAAGCTTTCCCACATTGCCTACATACATAGGGTTTCTCTCCAGTGTGAATTCTTTCATGTATCTTACAATATGCACGTGTGGTAAAAGCTTTCCCACATTGCTTACATACGTAGGGTTTCTCTCCAGTGTGAATTCTTTCATGCTCTTTACAATGTCTATGTTTGGTAAATGTTTTACCACATTGCTTACATACATAGGGTTTCTCTCCAGTGTGAATTCTTTCATGTTCCTTACAACTTCCAGATTGGCTGAAACCTTTCCCACATTGTTTACATACATAGGGTTTCTCTCCTGTGTGAATTCTTTCATGTTTCTTACAATTTCCACGATGGGTAAAAGCTTTCCCACATTGCTTACATATGTAGGGTTTCTCTCCAGTGTGAATTCTTTCATGCTCTTTACAATGTCTATGTTTGGTAAATGTTTTCCCACATTGCTTACATACATAGGGTTTCTCTCCAGTGTGAATTCTTTCATGTTCCTTACAATTTCCAGATTGGCTGAAACCTTTCCCACATTGTTTACATACATAGGGTTTCTCTCCAGTGTGAATTCTTTCATGAATCTTACAATATGCACGTGTGGTAAAAGCTTTCCCACATTGCTTACATATGTAGGGTTTCTCTCCAATGTGAATTCTTTCATGATTTTTAAAATATTCACATGTGTTAAAAGCTTTCCCAAGTTGCTTACATATATACAATGTCTGCCCATTGTGAAGTTTTTCATGGATTACACAATAAGTACGTGTGCTGAAAGCTTTCTCACAGTGCTTACATTTATAACGTTTTTCTCCAGAGTGAAGCCTTTCATGTACTTGACAATATGTACTTGTTGTAAAAGCTTTACCACATTGCTTACATATGTAGGGTCTCTCTTCTCTGTGAATTCTTTCATGTTTCTTACAAATTCTATGTGTGGTAAAACCTTTCTTGCATTGCTTACATACATAGCGTTTCCCTCCACTGCAATATTTTTTAGGGATCTGAACACTGTGGTCTGTTTCTTTCACATCCACATTACCTTCTGCAGTACAAAGGAATCCTTTACACTGATTCCAAGATGTATGTCCATAGGATTTCCCTAACGTGTTATTTCTGTAAAGAGATAAATCACATATAGTATTGACAACCATATTACTAAGATTTTTTTGGAGAGCTGAACAAAACTGTTTGCAATCTCACTGTTTGAATCCTCACTTCATGTGATTCACTTTTGTATCTTGATTATCTCTTTCTATGAGCACCATGTATAATCCTCAACTTGTGATTTCTTACTGTTTATTTTCACTTTGAAAGTAGTATTATTTCTACTTATTTTGTTTTGGTTAGTCTTTCCTTACATAAAATTTTAAAAAAAGGGAAATAATCACAGTGAAATGGGTCTCTGTGTTAATGACTGCATTAATGTCAAGTTCTGTTTTTAATGCCTGCAAAGAAATTCTGACAATGAAGTAGCAGAATGCCTGTTGAAAACAACCATTCCCAAAAGTCTCATACACATTTGGGAATCTTAAAAGTTGGTAACTTTGGGGCTGGGTATTTAGCTTAGCGGCATAAGCGCCTGCCTTGCAAGCAGGCAGTTGTAAGTTCGATCTCTGGTACCGATAAAAAGGACAAAGACAAAAAAAAATGTTGGTACCTTTTGAAATGCAGAATGTTTAGCTTCACTTTGGGCATGGGTACATATGTGTATGACATGCAGATCATTCAGATATGTTTCCCCATCACAATCTCCCTTCTGTCCTTAACCTGTAATTCCCTTTTCCAAATGGTCAGTCTTACCTTTCTCTATCAACTTTCATTTCATTCCACAATTTATATTTTGGGTTCTCATCTAAGAGACACCCTGTGACCTTTTAGGTTTCATAGCTGAGCTATTTCATTGAATTGATGGGAGAAAAACACACCTATGTCTTTTGGCAAAGGGTATTATATTATTTATTTTTTGACATTATGTAACACATTTTTTCTTTACCATGCTGGGAAAAAACAACAAATATTAGCATAAAATCTCTAGCTTTTTGATTTATTTTAAGAGATTTTCAATGATCATTAAGCTGTGAAGTTTGAACTTAAATTTGGCATTCCGCAAAATCTGATTCCTAGTGTGCTGGGGTTACAAGAATGCACAATCACATAGTCTATTAACATTTTACTTCTCCACAAATCCAGTGATAGATAGCTAAGCTGATGTAAGGCCTGATCTCTTATAACTTGATCTGCTTTGCATATGAGTAAGCATGTATCTGTATTTTATGTGGATTTTGAGATTTTAAAAATATACCCTGGAAAAGTATGAGGGGATCAACTTCTAAAGACAACTGCATACTGATATTCAGAATGAGTGCACTTAACATTCCACCAGCCCACTAAAAATTTGAATCAGAAGGGCTGATTCTCTAGAGCATGGCTTGGAAACATGAGCACTCAGTTTTATTTCAAATTGTATTGCAATCTTAGCAGTTTTTAGATAATGAATATGTTGTAATCACATGTATATATGGGTAGAAAAAGTGAAGGCAGAATGTCATAACTCAAAGTGTATGCCACTCATACACATCTATATGCAATGTCATGCATTTTCATATTTAATTCCCTCATTATACATGCCCCAGCTTATACATCTTCGAAGAATATTACTGACATTGAATTGAATGGTGCCTCATTTCTTTATCTGTCATTTTTCTGCTCACTCACTAATTACTCAGGAACATCCCTTCTCCTTGTGAGTGCAAATTACCTTAAGTATCTCCAGTAAATTTTGCATCCTTTTTCAGCTTCCTGGATATCCCCAAGTCCTCCTGAATTGTGGACATAAAAATACCAGGACTCATTAGAGTAATACATACAAATTAATAGATTTTGATTAGATTTATGATATAATGTGACCAGGTCTGAACTATTTTTCAAAATATTTTCACATTCTTTTTAATGAAACAGCACTGATGAGCAGCAAAAAATATTCTGATAGCATGAGTGACAAAAAAAATGACATCTTTACCTATCACAGTCATATTCCTACAGGTTTCCTCCATCACATCTCTGTAGAGGTTCTTTTGAGATGGACTCAGCAAAGCCCACTCCTCACTGCTGAAGTTCACAGCCACATCTTCAAAGGTCACCACCTCCTAAAGGATCATACATATATTTATCAAAGGATGGTTGAGACCCCAGGTCTGGGATATCTTAAGTTGTCTCCTACAAATCTGAATCAAAAGCAAAGTGTGGTGGTATATATCTATAATCCCAGCACTCAAAAGGCTAAGAGGACATCTTTGGTGAGGTCAGGGCAATTATAGGCTCCATTGGGTGTTAAAATTCAGCTGATATATATATACAGAAAGCTTGTCTCAAAAACCAAAACTAAACTAAACAAATAAGACCAAACCAAAAAGCTGAATTGAGACTGATTTCTTCATATCTTAAATCCATGTCGTGGTCATTAATTTTGTATATATACACATTTTTGGAGACAGCAAATTTGATGCTATATTGCAACTCATTGCTAATGTAACAGCCAAATAGGAGCACTGATTCTTGTGCTGTGTCTGCAAGATTCCTTGTGTACTGTCTCTAAAGCAGAGCTCACAGTGAGAAGCCTGTAGGACCAGCATCTCCAAAGCACAGAGACAGATAAATATCTCATCAATCAACTGGGAAGCCAAGCAAGCACATCCCCTCCCTGGTAAGTGGTGGCAGTCTGGCAGACTGCAGCCTCCTGAGATCCATGCCATGTTGCTACTTGGGACACTGGGAAGCCAAGGAAGCACCTCTCCTCCCTGGTAAGCAGTGGCAGTCTACCAAACTGTGGTCCTTCCAGAGGGAGAACCAGCAGCACTCCTGAGATCCACGCCATGTTGGAACTTAGGATGCTGGGAAGCCAAGCAAGCACTACCCCTCTCTGGTATGCAATGGCAGTGTGACAGACTATGGGCCTTCCAGAGAAGAACCAACAGTAGCTCCTGAGATCTGCACCATGATGGAACTTAGAATGCTGTGAAACCAATCAGCCTGCCTCACTGCTAAGCAATAGTGAACCTACTGATGCACAGCCCAGAATCAACCATTCCAATTCCCCTACCCCTCTTCTCCTAACCACCCCCCCCCCCTGTTAACAAATAGGAACCAGAAATCTGAGTGTCTCCTGGGAAGTTGACCATATCAAATAAAAGGGACTTTCTTCTACTATCTCTTTGATATTGTTATTACTGTAGCAAATATTGTTATAACTGTTTTGCTTCATTCTGATTAATGTCACTGATCTATTCAATATTGTCTTTTGATGAGTTCCATAATGTTCTATATTTCATCTCATTTTGATATATGTGATTGAAAGAACAACTATGACAAAGATAACAAAATATACTGATACCTATTACTGTTATCCCAGTAACATGCTGTGAAGTTCTGTACCAATTTCACTGTACAATCTTCATTGGCCTTATTCTGTCTTATTCTGTTGTATTTTACCACTTTCACAATTAAAAGAAATTTCTTCAATCACTTTGATAGACTACAGATGATGTCTCTTCAAATCTCATTTAAGCCACTGAGTACTTTGTTCTTAACATACTTAAATAGTATTTTGAAATATGAATTTGGTTTCATAGAACAAAACACAAATAGCATCAAATGTGGTAAATAATAACTCAAATGTTAGTGGAAAACAGCTGTATTTAAAAAAAAGTTTATAAAATGAAACCAGGCCCAAGCTATAAATTATACCTCACTGTCACCAAGCAACCAATTTCCATTCAGGTATAAGAAATATATCTTGGGAGGCTGGTGAAAGAGTTCTTCCTTGAATTTGGGGCTATCCTGAGTTATAGAGCTGTCTAAAATAGAGAAACTCTGACTGAGACACCCCACAGACAAAGTGAAACTTGAAAAGAGACTGCATAAGACACCTTTGGTTGGTTTTTAAAAATTATAGCCATACAATAGAGAAAAATTCTAACAATATTCAACACTTTCTGAGGAACAATGTGGATATCTTCCATACTATACAGTAAACACTTTCATAGCTGAGTATTTAGCTAAGTGGCATGAATGCCTCCCTGGAAAGCATAAGTCATGAGTTCAATCCATGTTTTAAAAAAATTCAAATTTCAACTTCATGACAATGAGGCATTATTAGAGATAATCAAAACTAGATCTCAAGTATGGAACACAAAATTCATGGGTTGACAGGGAGGTGGAATACTGACTGTTGCCAGAGCTGGTGTTATTCACCTCAGAGAAGGATTCAGAACCCAGCTTTAACTTCATACCTGCTCTAAGAACTACCTGACTTTCAGTGAAGACCCCCTCTGTTGTATGCCCTGCTATTGGCACCCTGTATTATACCAATCACATCCACATGCTTTTGACACTCCTCTGATCCATTCCAAACAGAAAACCCTTCATGCCTAACTATTGATATCCCTGCAAAGTTTCTATTGAGGGCCTCTCCTTTACGGAATTTAGTAAAGTCCATTGAAGAGCATTTCCATATTTAAACAATGTGTGTGATCAAACTGTCTGTGATCAACCAAGCTACTAAATCAGCTCTTAATTCAGAGATGACACCCCTATTTCTTTCCATTCAGAAGGATATCACATGTATATGTCCATGAAAATGCCTGAATTTAGGCATTTT